GTCTTCCAACAAGCTGATGCATTCTCATGAACTCTTCAACCCTCTGACTCCTCTGACTTATCGACTCTTATCAGACTCTCTTCCAGAGTAAATGGACCTAGACACCGCCGTGTTGCCCTGCCATCTTGAATGCAGTGGCTAAGAATGACATGGCCATCCCACCTGCATGATGACAATGGAACAGACCAGCCACATAGTACCACAGTTACATTTAATTTAAAGATCACAAACAAATAAATCTCTTTTTCCTCGTCCCTCATCTCCACCTCATCCCTCTTCCTCCTCACCACAAACCGTATCTTGTTAATTAAAGCCAGGGCTCTGACACATAAAAATGTGCACAAACACACTTCTTTATTCCTAAAATTGTCATCTGACTAAACAACAACAACAACAGCCGGTTATAAACTAACATTAAAACAAATGTCCCAAAAATCAAACAGTTTGATTATATTCTCATATGGTATGAGAGTTTATTTGCTAAGTCTCCAAGCCTGAAAACATTAGATCAGCCTTGAAAAAAGTTTCCCAAACACCAGCTAACAGAGGCTAACAGCAGTATTTACCGACAGAAATGTTCAGCAGATCTTCAGCAACTCACCTCAGTATCACAAGTGAGTTCCTCTGACTCTTATCAGACTCTCTTCCAGAGTAAATGGACCTGGACACCAACAGCTGAGGTAACAGCAGACTACACTCACTACAACTAATGGGCAGCCAGAGGTGTTTGTCCTACAGCAGCCACCACAGCTAGGATTATGCACTAAATAAATTGTGAGGGGTAAGAAAAAAGACCTCAGTTCAGTCTGCTATCTACTGACATCTAGACTAATATTTTATATATTTAGAACTCTTAATGTACTATCTGATGTAATTTCTAAGATTTTCTACAGTGAAAGGGTTTGTGGAAAGTGTTATGCTCTCCTAACATTAAAGGTCATGTGTCTGTGTACATTAAACCCTGCTCTGCTGGATAAATCATGTTGGAACCTGAGTCCAGCACTTCAGCAAACACAAATCACTGCTACACAGCAAAATGTAAACACTGTTACTGTGAATTCTAGATTCATCCACCTGCAAAACTCTATGAGGGCCTTCAAAGTTCAACAACTAAATTATTATTCCTGTTTGACAACTGGAGGGTTCATGTGACCACAAACAACCAGTCGATGAAGGTTATCTGAGCACAGTTAACAACGTACTCTGTTTACATCTTGATGCATTCTCAATCATCCAGGAAAATAAATCTCCAAAAGTTGATTCTGTTCATCTGGA